CCAGCCATCTAGTGAAGGACCAGCCATCTAGTGAAGGACCAGCCATCTAGTGAAGGACCAGCCATCTAGTGAAGGACCAGCCATCTAGTGAAGGAAGGACCACTGAAAGCTGCAGGGATAGGCCTTCGGTTTCCTCGATTCCTGTCATCCTGTCAGCCCTGGTGGCCTACTGGTTCTGTGTTGGGGCTGTAGTTTGCATACTCGAAACCACCAACCACTCCTAAGGAAAAAGATGGGGCTTTCTACTTGCACAAACAGCCAACAATCTCAGAGACTCACAGAGGCAATTCTACCCGGCCCAATAGGGTCATATGATTGCCCTCAATTCAATGGTAGTGAGTTTAGTTCGGTTTGGTCAGCCTGATGATGCCTCTCCAAAATGTTTGCAACCATCAACTCATGTGCGTGCATCAGCAGATTAGAAAGTCCTGCCCTGGGGCCCAGAGTTTAGCTGCCTACCCGAAGCTGTGACTGTCGCTGCCTTCACATGGGCCAGAGGGATGAGAGCCGGGCCCATTTGTCAGTTGCCCAGAACCCGCAGTTCTGGGGGAGTGAAATGACCAGGCACCGGTGCATCTTGAAAGAAACACCATCAAATCTAGTGTGAGGGAGTAGTAGGGATGGTGCACTGAATCTCACACAGAATGCCCCTCACGAAGCCCCCTTCGAGGATGCTTAGTTACAAAATGCCTAAGAAATAGAGACTATCCTTGGGTTGTTGGTTTGGTTTTGAACTTGCTTGCTTTGGTTTTTAAAGATAGGTTTGGTGTTTTTTTTTTTTGGTAAAGTGAGGCCTGCCTAAAATAGAAGAAAATCTTTAAAATCGAAAACCAAAAATACTTCCACACTCTCCCTGATAGCGAGAATAAATAATTTTCCGGTGTGAATTATTATTTGGCTTGTTTCTTAGCATTTATTCTCATAAGATGTAATTTGTCTAATGACTTTTTCTTGTTTTTATTTATTGTGTAGCAAGTTGTTATAGCCAAATTAAAAGGCCATCTATAGATAGCAAAATCAGTAAGCCAACAACTGGCAAAAGAGTATTTCTTTAAAGATTCTTTTAAAAACTCTTTTTCGTCAGCTTCCTGGAGCTCACCCATCCGCTCGAGGTGTGAGCTCTCCTATGATCGGGTTGGTGCCCTGAGCACGAGACCCTCACAGTGTTGCAGACGGCCCGCCACATCCCGTGATCTCCACGCGGGAACATGAAGGCACTTCAGTGCTGCCAGACTTCGTCCACCTGATCACAGGCTGTCAGCTCTTCCATATTCCTTCAGGCATTTGTATAGTTGGAAATGTCAAAAACGTAGACCCTAGTCCCCGTAGCTGAGTTTCACCATAAGCCAAAAAGAGATTATCCGGAAGACACCAACAAGTCTGAAAATGTAGTGAGTCTGTTTTCAGAGCCTATGAAATCTGATAACACGAGTTTCAGCCTCCCTGGTGGCTCATTTCATTATGCTACTACCTTTGCTGAGCAGCTGCTGTGGCATACGTTCATCCTAGGACACAGGACGTAAGGTCTGTAGCATGCCCATTTCATAGACTCCAAGAAGGCAAAGTGATCAAGTCCGGGCAAGTAGCAAATGGGGAGACAGCAGTCTCTGCGAGCCACGTTTCTCCTCCTTCCTTCCTTCCTTCCTTACTCCACAACTGCCAGGAGATTAAATCCTGGTCAAGTCAGGACCGAAATGCCTGAACCCAGACATCTGAAACCTAGTGAATCCCTTGCGCTGAGCATGTAGAAGGGATTGAGATCAAGGTAGTGCAGCAGGTCTGCTTTTCCCATTAGCCTTCCTTGTGCACCGGCACATTACTTTCGTAAACAGAGAGAGAGTTGTGTAAAGGTTACACCATAGCAAGTTATTTAATCTTGGTATCTTCCTCCCATTATAGAATTGGCTTTGAATATTCTCTGTTGTATCCTTTTCACTATTCTGAAATTCTAGATAATTCACCTGTCATTTCAGGACCTGTCCCCCACACCCCACACCCACCCGACACCTCCTACCCCCATTTTCTGGAGCACTAATGCTCCAGAAGACCTTAAGCTGTGACCTTAATTTCTCCCATGATTCCACCTCTTTTAGAATATACTCGAATACTCACTTTCCAAGAGATTTTAGTAATTACCCCTACAAATGGAGACAGTCTCCGGTGAGGCAGTCTCAAGTCCACATTCCAGGTCCTTCTCATCCAAGATGTTTCCGACTCAATCGTGGCATTCTTATGCAGCTGCAGAATGAGAGGAGTCCCTGATTCACTGGCTTTGTGCCATTTGAAGAGCCATGCATGATGGCGTATATTCTAGTCTTTTAGGAGCTTAAGTTGACCCAACACAAATCAAGGTGAGCGTTTAAATATAATATTGTCAAGTTTCAGAGACACTGCACTTGTATATTTATATATAAGGGAACTCCAAAAGGTTTATGAAAGAAATAGAATATAAAGATAATGGATTTTTCCATGAACATTTTTGACAACCCCTTGTATAAATTTTCCACACACATTTTGACAGCCCCTTGTATAAATATGTAAAACCGCTTGATACACAATTCACATGCCATGTCAATCACCCATTTCAAAGCCACACTTATTTTTGACAGACCATCCCAGTGCTGATAGAGTAATAATTTAGTGGGAACCTTCTGATAATGGTGTTAGCAACACAGCTGGCAGCCCCAGGTTGAACTGTTTTGTCTCTTTTGTTTATTACATTTGTTTCCATGAACGACACATGAAATAACAGTCAATCACATAGACTATTGAAGTAGGGGTCTACTGGAAAAGAGATGTGGGTATCGGTACCTTTCTAGTAGCATGATTTGTAATGATGGGAACGATGATTGAACCATCACTACTCATTATAGCCAACATTTTTCTTCAAGACATTACCTAGAAATAACGCCAATTGATGCTTTTTAAAGTTATTCTTTTACTATCAGTACCAGACGCAAGTTAAGGCTTTACTGGTGTTTCCATGTAATTGCTTCCCCCGGAATAAACTGGAATGTTTCTTGTCTGTAGGGAGCAGCCGCAGATGATGGCCGATTGAAGCGAGGTGATCAGATTTTAGCGGTCAATGGTGAGACTCTGGAAGGCGTTACTCACGAGCAAGCCGTGGCCATTCTAAAACGCCAGCGAGGGACCGTGACTTTGACTGTGTTGTCATGAGCCTTGGCTAGTCCTGCAACAGATGCTGTTCTTGGAGAATACCCACAGGAAGATGCATTCTGAATGGGAACAAAAAGCAGCCTCAACTCATCCACTTGCTTTGTCACCGTCCCATCCTCTCTGCTCGGGGAGGTGGCTGGGGTCCCCTGGGAACAATGTGAAATCAAGTCAACAGCGACTCCCGAATGATTCCCAGTGTCGGACACCTGTTGGTAAGGCTAATTTCAAAAACTGGAATGAGGCCTACCTGTTTAGCACTTAACACTGCAGTTTATTGACCAGTAGCAACTGATTCTGATTATATAAAGGGGCTTCAAAAAGTTCATGGGAAGATGAAATTAAAACATGATGGAATTTTCCCACGAATGAACACCTTGAAGCTCCCTCTCGTATTTGACCAAAGTGAAGTCAACAATCCCTCCTTCCTTAAGCCCTTCGCCTCCTTCCCCAGCTCACACAGAGGCTGAACACTGCTTCAGCTCTCCCCCAAGGACGTTCTCCTCACTGCTTAGGGGACTTGTCATCTAACTCATGATTTGCTCACACTAATTGTTTCTGAGTGGGCCGGGAAACATTCGCAGCGTAATCAATTTAGCAGCGAGCCCCAGGATGAAATGCCAGGTTCTCCTATGAGAAATCATTGTGTTGTCTTCTGTATAACTTATAACCAAATAATTTTCAAATTCATGTCTCTGGATAGATCTTTATAAGTTAGTCAGTGGTGATTTTGATGAGTCTATTAGGAGAGTATTAGATGAAAACATATATTATCTTCTAAAAATTCTGAAAAGCTTTTCGATTGTTTTCTAGCTACATCAATGCATACCACTGAGCAAATGCACCTTCTCAGCAGGGTCGATTAGCATCTGTGTTCTGAATTCTAACACTGCTACCTTAGGTTCAGGTCTGGGAAGTCCATCGGAATTTAATGGCACCTAAGTAGGCAGGCATTAAAGTACCCCTACCCCTCCGTGGTCAGAACCCCAGAACCACACTGCAGAGATCAGCAAGTCCTCCTTCAAATCAGACGGGTCTGGGGAGTCTTGTGACAAATTTGATTATCTTCCCCCTTGAGCTCCCCAACAGCAAATCTAGCAGTCCAGACCTTGATGGAACCGAGAGGGAGCAACAAGGTTTGCCATTAACAGAGCACACGAACTTGGGCCACAGGGGAGGAAATGGTTGACGCATGTCTCCCAGGAGCCTGCCATTTGTGGAAGTTCTGCTAAGAAAGAAAACACAGCTGACACTCACAGAACACCCCTCAAGTTCATCGTCAACATGTTTATGCGGGTACCAGCCAGAGAAAAGAGGAAAGGCTTACTAGTGAAAGTTCCAGGGTGCCCAGAAATGTACGGTGGAGGATGAACACCGGGGTCAGTCGTAGAGGCAGTAGTTCAGCATTATTTAAAACACAGTGCTGCAAATGGTTCCCAGCCATTATCAATGTAAAGGGTTATTTAATAAGCCTAGATTTTAACTGAGAATTTCCTTGGCGTAGATGTAATCACAAAGTGCATTAACTCTTGTTGGAATCTTTTGTGACTATTCCAAAGTAGAGTGCCTGAGTTTTATGTTGAAAATGTCTTTCATGACTGGTGTTATGTTTTCTGAAACTACACATGGCTTTGGAAATGTACCATGTATGCGAGTCTGATATAATCAAGATACACAGTGTAGAATCTCACCTTCCGATGCATGAGAAGCTACCAACCTCCAAACTCTCCTGTGTTAATTGCATCTGCAAGAACACCTCAGGTGGCCATGAAGAAATGAAGCCCCAATACAACTTATAAATGCAACTTGAAAATGAAATGTGATTCTGCTTGATTGTGACGGAATGGCCATTAAATGCACATTTTGAACTGATGTGTGGTGGTGATGTTTCATTATACATTGTCTTTGTGGGTCAAGTCCACTGACAAAGGAATCAGGATGCTTTATATGCCTGATAGCAATCAATTGTCTGAAATATTGTCTCTGCTGGCATGACAAATAAATGACTCCCTTGCCCACCCTCAATAAAATGTAAATCAGAATTTATTGGCCCAGTAAGCGGGTGTGAAAATGGACATTTGTATCATAAGGAGTAGTTCTTTGATACCCACACATGCAGTTTGCGCCTCATCGTTTAGGCCGTACTTGCTACGGTAATAATATCACTTTCAGATTGGCGTGAGGAAAAAGTAAACCTAGAAAAGTCAAACTGCTGACTGTTGGCATGTAGATGTTTCCAAAGAATGTAAGTATATGTAGATGCTTAAGGAAGGACTGAGGAGAAGCCCTTTGGCACAGTGGTGAAGCACTGAGATGCTAACCAAAAGGTGGGCAGTTTGAATCCACTAGCTGCTCCCTGGGAGAAAGATGTGGCTGACTGCGTCTTTAAAGAGAGAGCTTTGGAAACCCTAGGGAGCAATTCTGTCCCGCCTTATAAAGTAGCTGTGAGTTGGAAGCAATGTGATGGCAGTGGGTGTGGGTTTTTACTTTGGGGGAAGGGCTGGGGGAGCAGTTGTTGGAGGGTGACAGATGTCATGTGGGTGAAGTACAGCATCAGAAAAAGGCGGGAGACCATCAGTGAAGTGGATCGACTGCGTTTTCTAGAAGCACTGTGCCAACAAGCCTGTGGTTCCTACAGGCTCCTGGCATCGGTAACCCGCTTCACCCCATCCTTGGGATCTGCGGATCCCCTGTCAGGAATACAGATACCAGCATTGCAATTACTGCCATCTTTTCTAAAGAGATCAAGCATTGTTGCCTTCTAGTATTGGCTTTCCAATGTTATAAGTGTGGTGGTTAAGGGTAGGTTTCAATTGGGCTGAACTTTGATTCTGAGGGGTGTAGTGGTATCCTGTAATCCTCCATTTGGTGATCTGATGTAAGCAGCTAATCAGTTGAAAGGGACATTTCCTTGGGGTGTGGCCTTCAATATAGATATTCTGACAAAGCTCACCTTCTGTCGATCTGCATACAACTTACAGTTTCTGGACTTGAGCCAGGAGTCTGTCATCGGATCTGCAGGTTTTCTGGTTCATTGGTTCCTGTATCCACGTGAGTCAGAAGTCTCCATCCTGGTGCCGGACCCATGAATTTGGGACTTGCAAGCTTCCACAATTGCATGAGTCTTTTCCTTGAAGTATAGGGGTGGGGTGGGGAGGGGTGAGGTGTAGGGTGTGTGTGTGTGTGTGTGTGTGTGTGTGTGTGTGTGTGTGTGTGTGTGTGAGCCCTGGTGGTATAGTTCTTCAGGAGAAAGGCAAGGCTTTCTACTGCCATAATGAGTGAAAGTCTCAGAAACACAGCAGCAGCTCTACCTTCTCCTAAATGGTTGCTACTCGAAAGTCATCTCTCTTTCTCTCTCTCTCTCTCTCTCTCTCTCTCTCTTTCTCTCTCTCTCTTTCTGTTAGTCTGGGTAGACTGGAGAAACAAATCCACAGAAACTCATATGTATATGAAAGAGAGTTTTATATAAAGGGTAAGTGTACATTAAGAAAGCATCCCAACCCAGTGCTGTCCAAGCCCATAAGTCCAACGTTGGCGCATATATCCAACACCAATCCACAAAGTCCTCCTCTATCTCAGAAAACACACACAATGAGGCCGACTGCAGGAGGAAAGCTGAATCAGTGAGTGTGTAAGCATCTCAGCGCTGGCAGGGGTCTCCACACGGCTGTTCCAGCACCCAGGGCTGGGTCAGGGTAGGTCCATGTGGCTTCTCAGGGATGTCTCGCAGGAAGTAAGCCTTGCCAGCTAAGGCAGCCACACATTGGTCCGACCATCAGACAATAAGACAAGAAAGGCAAGGCTCACCGAACCATTTATCTCTCCGCCCTTCAATTAATCCCACATGTGTTTATCGGCCAGGTTGGCACAATAAACCTCTCTCTCTCTCTCTCTCTCTCTCTCTCTCTCTCTCTCT